AACAGTAACTATTTGGGGGGGGGGTTGTGATGATAAACGATGTATATATAAATGATATAGATAAAGCACTTGGAACCGCTGCTGGGCCCAGAGTAAGAACCCATAAGCGGTAGCTATTACTTCTTGACATAAAAACAAGGTATCATCACTGAAAATCTTTTTCCAGATATGGTTAACAGCACCTTTAATCAGTTATTTTATCAGGCGTTTTGTGGATGTTCTTCCACTATTTTATTTAGAAAGTCCAATTTAGTTGCAGAAAACATTTTATCATTTCCTTCATTTTTCACCATGGAATAGAGGAGATACACTACTCATCATCTAAAGGTGACGCTTGGCATGAACAATAGTCTGGGTCAAAAGTTATTGCTTCCAGAAGTACATTTTGTAAACTGACCTCTAAAGAGCAGAACATGAATGAAATGCCTCCATGAAAGTAATTTTTTTTCATATGGATATTGATGCAATTGTTAAATACTGCCATATTTTTGAAACTTACCTGATATGGTTGCTACTAGAACTAACGTCCCGTTTTCCCTCCAGTGCCTATCATCAATTCCTTCAAAAAAGCAGGCAGCTCCTTGATTACACCAGAAAGGGGCACTCATTTCAGGTCGGAGATGGGGAAATGTACAGTTTCCAAGTTGGAAAAGTTCATACCATTCCATTGTGTAGTTCTTGCCAGTTAAAGTACTCTTGAATCCAATGGCATCATGCATAATTTTCTGTGTAAAGATCATACAAGTATAAAAGCACTTGTGAAGGAACCACTGGCCCAGGAACCAAATGGGAAAAAATGTAATACACCACGACTGTGTATCAACGACAGCAACTGCTCAGCCATTCCTCCTCCATGTTGCTATTCCTGTGTCCACCCTGTGCCTCCTCAAAGTCCAGGCCCTCCTCCACTCTGGTTTTGACTGCTGCCTATCTCAGATAGTAAGGATGTTTGCTATATGGACATGCTCTTAATTTCCTTAAGTTTAGAATGGGTTCAAGAAGCTCCGTGCCAGTCTCAGGAAGTCTATATACTTCACAGGGGGATGAGAGGCTCACATGGTGAGCTAACCTAGGAAGTGTGCAGCAGGGACTGGAGGTGAAGTGTTTCCTGCCTACCTTGCCCCTTCCCCAGGCCTTCTCCTTTCTTACTTTCCAGGAGTTGGGTACGGATACAGAATATCAAAATGGATTAAAGCAACTGCATCTGTTACTGTCAGGATCATAAAATATGGTAATATTTTTTTGACTACTCATTTTAAAGATTTTGTTTATTTATTTACTTATTTATTTGAGAGAGCGAGCACGCACGAGCTTGCAAGCACACAGGTGCCCTCAAGAGGGGGGTGCAGGGCAGAGGGAGAGGGAGAGAATCTCAAGCAGACTCTGCCCCCAAGCACAGAGCCCAGGCAGGGCTGGATCTCATGACCCCAAGATCATGATGAGCTGAGCCAAAACCAAGAGTCAGATGTTTACCCAGCTGAGTCACCCAGCTGCCCCACTGACTACTCATTTTAAACATGCCAAGAACACAAATTAAACATTATCTCAAATCAGCCCTTTGCACAGCGATTATTCCCTCAAATCCACTTAATAAATCATTTAATTAACCAAAGTTATAAGATCAAGATGCAGCCTTACCAAGTGTCCCAGGAGGTTCCCATATTTAAATTCCCATACTGGGGCTTGTAACCGAAAGACTTCAATGACATCATCACCTTTCATAACTGGGATAGGTGAGCCAGTTGGACAGAATGTGTATTTAGCTTGACAATAAGGATCTGGTTCTGGACGGAAGGAAGAGCGTCTAATAAAGAAAAAGAAACCACTAACTTAGATTCTAATAGGAATTTGGTTCTTCTTGAACATTTTAGAATCCAGATTTCAGTACCACTGTCAATAACATTTTCAGAGGAAACATTCAAAAGTTTAGCCCATAGTGTTTAAACATTTTATCTGTTATCCTGTGAACAAACTTCAATGATGTCTTATTTATTTTTAAAGATTTTATTTATTTGACAGAGAGAGCACAAGCAGGGGAAGCAGCAGCAGAGGGAGAGGGAGAAGCAGGCTCCCTGATGAGCAGGAAGCCGGATGCCGGGGTCCATCCCAGGACCCTGGCATCATGACCTGAGCTGAAGGCAGATGCTTAACCGACTAAGCCACCCAGGCGCCCTCCAATGATGTCTTTAATAGCCAATTATACATTAAAAGCACTTTGATAAATGCATGCTTCTCTGTTTCCTGCTCCCATTGTGAAAATCTTGAAAATGGGGGCTGTATCTCAAAATGTTCACAGATCAGATCTTATTTAGTAGACAAATACTCACTGAATAAAGGAGTATTTTCAAGTGATATTTAATTTCCTAAACAATCCATATGTTAAGATGATTCCAAAATAATTATGATTAAATAGAATGTATTTTTATTTTTATTTCAGAATATATTTTCTATTTTCTTAAGAATTAACCAACAGGGGTGCCCCTCTATTTGCTAGACAGGATGTGGCCGAGTTCATGAATCGTTTAATAAAGCCAATTAGATCTTTAAACAATTTTAAATAATGAAATTAACCAATGATCCTTCAGCCAATATTTATTAAAGCTCTACTATGTGTAGGACACCATACTAGGGAGGAGGAAAACAAAATTAAAATGATGTTCCCTTCCTCAAGAACACTTGGGTGGGGGCTGGGAATACATTAAACAAGTAAACCAAGTGCAGTGTGGTAAGTGCTAAAGAAAGATACAAAGTCCCGCGAGCACACAGGAGAGAAATCACTTCTACCAGATGTGGAATGGGTAGAGAGGAGGAGGACAAAGAAAGCGATGAAGACCTGGCTTAGGTTTTTAAAATACTTCCAAAGGTTAGGACACGAGTACAGAAAACATTAAGTATTTTAAGACAGTAGGTAAATAAGACTGTAAATAAGGAATTCAGGCTTCAGGGCAGGAGAGGGCGGCAGGGACTGTCATTTTGCACTGACGCAGCAGGAACCGCAACCCCGGGACTCTACAACTGCCAAGGAATGAGCCCCAGAGTGAGCTTCAAGGATTGTAAGTAGCAGACCTGGTCTGACTGGATTTGCTGCAAAACAAACCTTATTTTATGAGTTAGAAGAGGGCAGGGAGAGAGAGGAAGTTAAGGCATTGGTCAGTTAGGAGTAACAGTACTCATGTAACAAGAAGACACCCCCCGCCACCCAGAAGGCCTTGGCAATAGGACTAGGGGGCGGATTGTAGTAGTAGACACCCCTGGTCACCTTCCATATTTGGCCCTGGAAGATACGGACGAAAAAAAGACGCTGCCTCCATCTATCCTGAAGAATCCTGGATCTCTAAGGTTTTAGACAGATCTGTTCTTTTACAACCCTAACACATCAACAAAAATTTCTATTTTAAGAAGTTAGCCAAAAATATTAACACCCTCCCCCCCCCCACACACATTTATAAGATTTAGGTATACTTACCTGTTTTATAGGTGCTCATCTGGTTGAAACAAATACATAACTATATATAGTTTTCACTTGCCCACAGCTAAATCTCTTGTAGGTCAAGGGTAATTTCAAAAGCATAATTCGTGTGAATTTAATAAAGTTAAATTTTATTATATTCAGTAGAGAAGATTAAACTCAACTTAATACTTGAAACTTTTATAGAAACACGAAGTTACAGTCCATATCTTTCCCTAATTTTAAATCAAGTAGTTTTGGATTTACAATCTCATTTTATTGAACATTTATTTTTTACTTCTTATGTTTTTTTGAGTGAACACTGTATTAACATTTTTTCAAGAAAACCCAAACTTCTCTCTTCATATATATCAAGCAAAACAAGGAAGTGGTGCAAAGCATTCAGTGAGAATACGCTAATACCCAGGCTTGACAATAGCTGGCATTTACTAGATGTAATCCCCCTACAAACACGGGGTAAAAGCTACTATTCCTGCTAACTCAGGACACGTGGTTAGAGATACGGATATCGAACAGCTAGTGATGGTGGTGCCTGATTTGACTGGAACCCAGAACTCTCTCCTGACCACTAGGTTAACCTGCCTCCCCATTCACTATTTTGTCAGCCGAAACAGCTGTGCGTTTTCAAAAGTCCTGCCTGGTGTTAACAGCGTTGTTTTCTTTCCGTGTGTTTAGCCACCTGGACCATCTTCGGTCGTGTAAATACTTCTAGGTCAGAGGCTCCAATCAGCTTCACAGGTTTGCAGTCAGTCTCTGTCCTGGTCTTATAGCCACATCCTACACCCAGACTGCAAACAGGTAACAAACGAGGTCACCAACCTTCCCGGGGTGCCTGAGTCAAAGGGGGCGGGCGAGTCTAAGGACGCATGACTTCTGGGATAAAAACGGAAAGTCCCAGAAAACCCCAACCAGTGGGTCACGCTGTCAGTTGTGCCAATGGGTACGCGCTCAAGATAACGACGTGCAGGACGTTAATAAACAAACGCGGTATTCAAAGTCTCCTCAAACCATTCAAACAGCCGGTTACTTGCATCCAAAATTCACTCGGTAAAATGACATTACTTCCCGTTTCTTCCATGATTAGGGAGTGTCCTGAGCCGAGGGCACCCAGAAACTGGCGCAAGTGTCCCCAGAGGAAGAGAGGCCCCAGGGCGGCGCGCGGCTGGCAGCGGCGACTCCGGCGCGCTCCACCCGGCCCCCCCCCGCGTGGGGAGCGCCTCTCGGCCCCGGCACCCGCCCCGCCAGCCCCAGCCGTGCGCGCGCCCGCCCCGCCGCGCGCCGCGCGCACTCACTTGTAGGGCACGGGCCACTGGCGCCGGGAGGGGCCGGCCGCGGCCGTCGGCAGCCACAGCAGCGCCAGGGCCCAGCGCCAAAGCGCGCACCCCGGAGCCGCGCCCGCGGCCCGCCGCCCACCGACCCCACGGCGGGCGCTCCCCGCCTGCGCCATGGGACGGCTCCCGGTGCTTCCGGCGCCTCCCGAGCCCGGCGACGCGGACGGCCCGCGCGCTGAGCATGCGCGGAGCCACGCCCAACCCCGGACTCGGCCGCCCGGGTCCGGCCGGGCCCGCCCTCTCCCGGGCCGGAGATTCGGCCCCGTGGCGTCGGACGCCTTCCTGAGCCCGAGGGAGCGAAGCCCTTTCGTGCGGACCGTTTTCCCTGTCCGCAGCGGCCCGCAGGGTGGCGGCTTTCAAAACTTTGCCGGCCGGGAAGGCTCTTGGGTCCGGCTTCTTGGAGCGCGCCATCCGGGCCTCGGGGCCTCCTTTTTCTGAAACTGACCCAGAATGCCCAGGGCTTCTGGTCCCGCGTCTCAGTTTAAAGTTCACCGCTTCTTTGGAGCTATTTTTCTGACCTGCGCTCAACAACTCCCACCCAAACCAAGCCACCACCACCAAGAGTCCATCTTTGGGCCCCTCCTTTGGATTCTCGAGCACGGAACTCTCACTCCGCCACACAGGGTCCAGACTAGGTGACAGCAAACATTTGAGTGAAAGAATCTTTATTTGGCGGTGGTGGTGCCGTGAGGAAGACAATCATGGAGGAATGACTGGTCCTCACCCGACCTGAGCCAATGGCCAACGCAATGCACGGCCCACGATACTACGCTATTTGATCCACTCCACCCCCCCCCCCCCCGCCCCGCGATGTTCTTCCTTGTTGGGATCGCCCGCTTCAGTGGGGCAGAAGATTCTACATTACCCTTCTTTGACCCTTCATCCAGCTCAAGGAAACAATGGGATCAACCGCCCTGCTTCTGGTGAGATATCCATGGCCTGCCATACTTCTATACAAAGATACTGACTTATGTCTGTAAATAGTACATTAAAAGCGTTATAACTTATAGTTACTTGTTTTACAAGAGAGCAGCTTACCTTCACTTCACCCACAACACTTGTGAACCATCGTAGTATTTGTAAGGATACTGGAGTAAGTGAGGTCATAGGCGACCCCATGACCCACGCTGGGGATGGAGGGAGCAGCGCTGGCTTCCTCACGCCTGCTAGGCTTCCTGAGGGCTGATGGGAATTAGTCCCTCCCCCACCCAGCCTCCTTCCCCTTCTCCCACTTGCTGCACCAGCTTAGGAAATTGTGGAGATTCAGGCAGGGTACCATTTTAACACCCACCTACCTAAGTGTTTAGGTGGGTGCAGTCCTCGCTCTCCTGCATACCATGGCTCAGTTCAGAATCACCAAGGCTAAACTGACCTCTCCAAAGACCCACACAAGTTGGGGGTGGGGAGGGGAGGGCGCAACACATCCTAGCTGTGACAGCTGAAATGTAATGTTCAGTTTGACAGGGCACCCACAGGATTCCCAGAGGGTATTTACTTGAGCATGACTTACCACTGAAACAGCTCTCTAGAGTAACAGTATACAAATAATGGGATCATAGGCTAGAGGGCCAGTGGAGCTTCCCATCCTACTCAGGACTTCCCAGAGCTATAGAGACAAGTTTCAAGTTGACCATGGTCAGTGGTGGGGCTCTCCTCTCTTGGGACTGCAGTCTCTTCATTCCGCCTGCAGGGAGCTCTAATGGTGAGAAAGCAGTCCCTCATATTAGCCTTAACTCAGCCTCTCAGTAGCTCCCATCTGCTCGGGTCTGGTTCTGCCTTCTGTTCCTTTTGGCTATGACCCCAGCATCCCAGGCTAAAGATGCTTATAGACTGTTGTTGCCTGATACCTCATTGTACTGACTTCTCTCTAGTTCATGGTTTTTAAATCTTGGAAGATCCATCAAAAAATAGTTTGAATTTTAATCCAGTTGGTTTCCCTTGGGTCCTTGCTCAGCTTAAGAACACTCAGAAGAATACTGTAGTCTGATAAAATCATGTTCATCAACCATTGAACTGTTGCCCACCCGTGGAACTGTATAGCATCTACTCAAAGGAAAAAATAGAGTTATAGGATTCTGGGGGAGGGTAGAGTTTAGGTGAAATTTAAATTTTTATCTTCACCTCCACCTTGGGCAGGTAGATCTGGTTAATTTCACGAAGCAACTGCAAGCCAGTCTGTTTCCAGAATTACTGGTTTAAAAACCAATCCACATTTTTTTTTTCATCTTTCTTGCCCTTCAGAATGTTCGAAGCTTTTTTTTTCTTTTTACTAATAATGGGATATATATGTGCTTAGAATCTCTCCCGTAGATCTATCCCATGGATAGGAGATATTACTCAGTTTTGTAAAACCAAAAATACAGGGAAGAATGTTTAGAATATTAATATATATTTTAATCAAATACAAAGTTTAATAACAGGAGGCTAAAATGTGATCGTTTGCTTTCTAGTCCTAATGATGCCTTCTCAAAGTCAAGGGACATTTGACTCAGACCAGCCTTATCTAGTTCCTGGAGAGGTGGACCTGCAAGTTTTGGGGGGGGGTAGAAGTCAGTGAAGAAGGTGTGACACTTAGGGCCCCAGTATATAGGTGCCTACCCTGCACTTCCTTCCTTGCCTCCTAATCCTCATGTCTCCCCAGATCACTGCCCCTGCAGGATCTAGCTTTTGGGGAAAGAGGAACTGTTTCTGATGGCAGACTGGGGGTGATAATCCAGAGCTTCGTTGGGTTGAATGCCTGGAAGTAGATCAAGTAAGAGCTTCCAAATGGTCTGCTTTGGGTTTTTGGCATTAAAACCCCTGAGATTTTAGGGGTACCTGGGTGGCTCAGTCGGTTAAGTGTTTGCCTTCAGCTCAGGCCCTGATCCTGGGATCAAGCTCGTGCGCTCCCTCTCAAATAAATAAATAAAATCTTTAAAAATAAATAAATAAATAAAACCCGTGAGATTTTAACTTAGAGCCCTGAGTTTGTGAGTTTTATTTCCCATTTGCTTTAGTTCAATGGTTGCCAACCCTGACAAATGATGGAATCACCTCAGGAGATTTTAAGACATACCAATGCCCAAGCTAGTGCTTCCGTCCCAGAGATTCCCATGTAACAGGGCCTCAACCTCTCCAGGTGATTCTAATATGCAGCAGGCTTGAGAATCCCAGCTTTAGAAAGACTTTAAAGATAGATTTATTCAACTCTCCCATGGTTTTGAGCCCTCTATGTTTCTATCTATAAAATCAAATCCTCTCGGGACACCTGGGTGGCTCAGTCGGTTAAGCGTCTGCCTTTGGCTCAGGTCATGATCCCAGGGTCCTGGGATCGAGCCCCCCATCTCATCAGCCTCCTTGCTCAGCGGGGAGCCTGCTTCACCCTCTGCCTGCCGCTCCCCCTGCTTGTGATCTCTCTAACAAATAAATAAAATCTTTAAAATAAAATAAAATCCTCTCTTCCATCTCTTTAAAAAGCATGTACTGTTGACCCTTGAACAACACAGGTTTGAACTGTGTGGGTCACCTTAAACAGAATTTTTTTAATATAAATACAATACAGCTGTAAATGTACTTTCATTTATGATTTCCTTAACATTTTCTTCTAGCTTACTTCATTGTAAGACTGCAGTATATAATATATGTAACATACAAAATCTGCGTTAACAGTTTATGTTATCAGTAAGGCTTTAGGTCAACAGTAGGCTATGGGTAGTCAAAGTTATACACAAATTTTCAATGCATGGAGTTGTATTGTTCAAGGGCTATGTAATTTATATACATATGTATACACACATATATGGCTGTGTGTGTGGATAGGTAGATATGTGTATGTATGCATTTGGAAATCAGTCTCTTTCTGTTCTACTTTCTTTCTAGAAGCTAATTTATAGCTCTCCTCCCGACCCCGTAGAAGTCCCCTGCAGTTCTTCCTTGTGGCTGCTATTTGTAGTTGGTGTTGGCCCTGAAGGCATACAGAATTACTTAGTGGTTTTCTGACTTTCCTTCCTGGTTTAGGCTCTGAGGTTGATTTGCTTGATTATTTTCATAGAGGCAATGACATCATTTGTTTTTATTTCTATTTTTGAAGGTGAAGCTATTTGCTCCTAATGCTGAGCAGATGTACCTTGTTAATCACTTGAAAGATAGCCCAGCAGAAGAGAAGAGAAATGTGCTGGAGGAAAATGCCAGGAGAGCCCATGGGGACATACAAGATTTGGCAGACCTGAACTCCAGCAAGCCTGAAGCTGTCATTATACCGGTGAGTTAACTGAAAGCTGTGAGACCAGCCGTTCATTTTAATTAACGTTCACTGACTTTAAAGCCCTTTGCAGAAAGAGCGGTGCAGACTTAGCTACCATCTTGAAGCCTCTGTGCCAGGTTCTAGATCACGGTTCTCAAACTTTGCTGCACATGAAAGTCACTTGGGAAGCCTTTAAAAAGTTTCAGTGCCTGGGTCACACCTGAGACCAGTCGCATCAGACTTCCTGGGGCTGGAAACAGGTGGTAGTGCTTTTTGATGCTCCACAGGTTCTCCCACTGTGCGGCCAAGTTTGAGAACCAGTGCTTTATGAAGAGTCACCAGTCATTCCCAGACTTGGCTGCACATGGAATCACCTGGAGGACTTTAAAACCACCAGTGCCTGTGTCCCCATGGCCTGGATTTTGGAATTTTTAAGATTCCCATATGATTCTCATATGCAGACAAGTTTGGGAACCACTGCTCTATAAAAGCATGTCTCTAAGTTTAATAGGTATGTGAATCACCTGGAGATCTTGTTACAGTGCAGGTGCTGATTCAGCTCCCAGGTGACAGGTGACATGCAGCCCACATTTTGAGGCCTTGAGACGCTGGAAATCACAGTGGAGGGTTGCCTGTTTCTGGACCTTTTCAGTGCAGGAATCACTTTATAGATAGGTGACTCTACCTTTTAAAATAAATGATTGATTTACAAGTATGATTGTCTTAGATGTTTTTTACTTCTTTTTATTTAATCCCCTCATAAGGAACTGTGTGTTATATATTGATCTTTTTCAGACTAAACAGTTTTAGTTTGTTTAGTTTGTTCAAACACTTAAAATCAGTTTTATTTTAAGATTATTATTTTTTAAGATTTTCTTTCTTTCTTGAGAGAAGGCGTGCACGTGAGCACACACACACACACACACACGAGCAGGGGTGAGGGGGCAGAGGGAGAGAGAATCTCAAGCAGACTCCTCCCTGAGCATGAGCCTGACACAGGGCTCGATCCCATGACCCTGAGATCATGACCTGAGCCAAAATCAAGAGTCAGATGGATGTTTAACTGACTGTGCCACCTAGGCACCCTTATTTTAAGATTATTTATTTTGGGGGGCACGTGGGTGGCTCAGTTGGTTAAGCATCTGCCTTTGGCTCAGGTCATTTTCCTAGGGTCCTAGGATCGAGCCCCGCATCGGGCTCCTTGCTCAGCGGGGAGTATGCTTCTCCCTCTCCCTTTGCTGCTCCCTCTGCTTGTGCTCTCTCTCTCTCTCAAATAAATAACATCTTAAAAAATAATCTTGTTTTAAGATTTTATTTATTTGAGAGCACACATGAGAGAGCACGAGGGAGAGGGAGAAGCAGTCCCCCCAACCCGCTGAGCAGGGAGCCCAACTCAGGGCTCAGTCCCAGGGTCCCTGGATCATGACCCGAGCTGAAGACAGGCGCTTAACTGACTGAGCCACCCAGGCGCTGCTATTTTAAGATTATTTTAAATGTTCACAATATTCTTGAAATTTTTGGAGGTGGTTTGGAGATGTCCTACAGTGAGAATCAGAAATCATTGTTTTAGATAAGGAGTGTGGTGCTGTGGACACTCACATGTCTATCTGAACAGGTTGCTTACTGCTATTTTACATACAAAGTATTCCAGATGTCTATTGCTGGGTAACAAGCACCACCAAAATTTAGCGTCTTCAACAATAATTTATTATCTTTCCTGGTTCTTTTGGTCGACTAGGCTTAGCTTGAGCTTCGCTTGAGATCTCTCTGGCAAGCTGCGGGGTGGCTGGAACTGCAGGCATCTGAAGGCATGACTGGGCTGGAAGTCACCACCCTGGTGTCTTCACGCCATGTCTGGTGCCTAAGCTGGGATTGGTTGGAACAGATGAGCAGCCATCTGGCCATTCCCTGTGGCGATCTTGCGCTTCCTGGTAACCTCTAGACCCCAGGGTGTTTGAGCTTCTCACATGAGAGCTGGCAACCCTCAGAACAACATTCCAAGAGAGCCAGCTTTCCTTATGCTCTAGCCACAGATGTCCCTCAGTGTCACCTCTGCCACATTCCATTGATGAAAAGGGAGATTAGATTCAAAGAGAGGAGTCTCCAAAAGGGAACGAATACTAGGAGGCATAGATATCGGGCATTGGAGACTTGCTACACATTATATATACAATAAATTTAAATATCTCTTTATAAAACCTGGGGGGAACATAAGGGAGATTAACTATTAATTTTATTTGAGCTGCTGGTGTCTTGTAGATTTAGTCTTTTTTTCTTTCACTGCAAATAGGTATGCCCTGAGACAACTTTGTAAAGATTATTGCCCTTGAGGTGTGATGTTAAAATTAGTTTTCACATCTCAAATGGTGTCACTTGTAAATCAATCAAAAAATTACAGTGGTTTTTAGTATATGTGGTGCCGAAGCGAGCACAAATTACAGTGGTTTTTAAAACAATCTTTTATTCTAATACATAAAGATACAGTTTTGTTTTTAGGAGAACTGAAGTTATCTCAAATGCTCTTTAAAAATTATATTTCTACTTCGTACCACACTTGAAATATTTAGCAAAAATTATTATCATGATGGGTATCCCACCTGTATCTTCAGAATTTTACTGTTGATGAAAAATGTTTATTATTATTACTTGGTGTCGTAAAATCCACTTTCTACAGGGGCTGCATTGAAGCCATGTAAATTCCCTAAGGATCAGGTTTGTGTTTCAGCATTTGGCACCAGCTTTTTACAGAAGGATCTCTGAGCAACTTTGACAAATACAGGTTGCTATTCTGACTTTTAAAAATGAAGTTAAGAAATTAATTAAATCATTGCCAACCCCAGAAGACTTAAAGAAATGTTATTTTTCCATTCTAATCGTGGGTTATTGTGCTCATCTGCCTTAATTCTTTGCTGAAGAATTAATTGTTCATAGGTTCTTCTTGTCAGCTGCCTCAGGTAATCCTGGATTTCCTCTCTTTGGAGGTGGTTTTGGGGTGGCTCAGAGCCACCCCGTGAGCAGTTCGGTAAAGGACTCTTTCTGTTGCATTTCACACATCCTGGCAGCTGACACCTTCGTGCTGTGAAGTCACAGTGGGTCAGGAAACTCATGTGGATGCAGGGGGAGAAAAGGATGAAAAGCTTACTGCCTGGTAAGCAGGTTCTACAGCATTTTCCCATTTTCCTTCCTCCAAATGAGTATCAATGTAACTGCTTTCCTGGTAGCTTAACGAATTATCTTCCATTTGGGGCCTGCCGTATTTGGTAATTGGCACTGGGGAGGGGGCCGGACACGGTGAGGGACGGTGCTTTAAGGTGATGAGACCAGCTGGCTTTGAATCATAGGGAAAATGTATTCATTCGAAATACACTGGCTTACTCCATAAGAAAAAATTTTCAGTATATCAATTCTCTTGTATGATATCATTCAGCTGAATGGATCAAATTATCCTTGCTTTTATTATTTCCTATTGATCTGAGTACATACAGCCTTCATTTTCTCTTACTAAGTGAATATTTAATGAAGCCTCATGTTGGAACAGATTTCTTCCATGCACAGTGCCTGTGGGCTTCAGTTCCAAACACTGCCGCATTTGAGAGGCCAGGGCAAGCTGATCATTTTAACTCTCTTCACAGTCATGCTGTCGATTGCCTAAGAAACATTTTCTTCCACCCAGGTATCTTCTCTTCTGATAGGTTCGATGATGCAGCTGGGGCCGCTGCCATATAGGAGCCCAGCTGCGCACAGGGCTGCAGGGAGGGGGGTCCTGCCAGGATGCTGCTAGCAGAATGGCCCAGAGGTGGCCCCTCCATGGGAGCAGTGTGGAGAAAGAGGCAAGATGGCAGGGGAGGCTTTCAAAGGGATTTGAAAAGTGATGCTTTAGTTATAATATTTAGAAGAATGTGTTCAAGTAAAAACAGCTCCAACCAAATGAGGGACACATTTTATCACTTACTGAGAGGTACTTTCAGTGTGATCCTGACTCAAAGATTAAATAACCATCCCTGAATTATTCAGAAATACATGGTTTCTAGACAAGCGCACTTTCACTTCTATCTTTCATTTTTTAAAGTCAGAAATGACTCTCAAGCCGGGTTTCAAACAGATGGGCATTGGGCTGTTCCAAAGGCTTTTTCCTGAACCTCCAGGTTGGCTCCTGTAAGGACACCAACTGTAACTGGGATGGGTTGAATTGTCCTTAATAGGAAGGACAATAGAAAGCAGGGGGAATTTAAGTGAGATGATGACATCTGGATGTTGATTTCTGCATTTACAACTCAACTAGATGACTAAACTAATCTTCATGATTTCTGTGAAGGTTTTCTGTTCGCTGTGACTCAGATAAAGCCATGACACTTTTTAACGTTACTGTGTGTCATACATTCTTTTGATGTCCTCTTTGCTGTCCGCGCCTGGGCACCCAGGGTTTAGCAGGAACCAGAATAGCCCGTGGAATGCTCATCTGTTTTGGAGTGTTTCACTTGCTAGGAACTATCCCTATGCTTTTTTTTTTTTTTCTTTTTCTTAATATAGAGTAGGGGAAGAGAGGGAGAATAAAACAGTCTCACCGGGTGATAAAAACCTGCAACATCGCAGGTAGATTTCATATGGCTGGGAAGAGACGACAAAAGCGGGCCCATGCACACAGGTGCACCCCTCTGCTGGAAGGAAGAGCAGCAGATCTCACTGTGACCTTGCCCCCCTCCCTTCAGTTCCCTGTGGCTTTGCTCTGTGCAGGGAAGTCCTGCATTTCTCCAGTGCCGTGAAGCTTCTGTTGTCACAGGTTCTGTCTCGGTCCAGGAAGAACCAGAAGCTACGAATTCCACCTCTGGAAGGTTCACATTCCCACCAGGGGAGGAGTGAAGAAGCACAGCTGGCCTCGAATAGGTACAGAGCACTTTCCTTGTCCTGTGTACTGATTTGCTTGTCTCTCTACTCACAGCTTATGGATTATAAGCTCATGATTATAAGAAGTGTTTGTCTATTTTGTTGACTGCTTTATCACCTGCACCAGGAACATCCTCTGGTATATGAAGCCCTTGATGTAAATTTGTTGATAATGAACGCCCACCATTTACAAAGCGTCTCCAAAGAGGTTCCCCTACATAAGGTATTACAGGCCTAAAGGTGGGGTCGTAGGGGATTCATCTGAGGGGAGATCTTTTTTAGATAAAGGCTTCCGAGCACAGTTGTTATAAAATACAACATATAAAAATTCCCTTTAAAGTCACATATTCTCAGGGCATGTGGGTGGCTCAGTCTGTTAAGCATCTGCCTTCGGCTCAGATCATGATCCCAGGGTCCCAGAATCGAGTCCCGCATTGGGCTCCCTGCTCAGAGGAGAGCCTGCTTCTCCCTCTGTCCCTCACCCCGCTCATGCTCTCTCTATCTTACTCTTTTTCTCTCAAATAAATAAATAAAATCTTAAAAAAAAGGAAAAGTCACACAGCCTCATTTTCAGTGCCTGGGCTAAAATCATTACCGCTCTTTGGTCTGTGACGGCTGTGAGCTGTGAGCTGCTGGGACTAGTTAACACTGTGATAGAACACACAGCTCGTAGAGCTCCCACTGCCACATAGTAGAGACAATTCCTGGAGTGGAGGTGAAGTCCAATTTTCCTGTGTCGTGTTTCTGTACCCTACAAAACCACACAAATAGGAAAGAAAGGCATTTCGGGATGGGAAACATGCAGGAAAGAGAATGTAGCAGGCCTCAAGCTGCTGTCTTTATTAAGGCCCATTCATGAGGTTCATCCTTGGCGGGCATCTGGAGCTTGGCCCTTAACCCACTCCCTGACTGATAAAAATAGTTCACTCTGCCAAGACTGCACCTGCTTTCCTTCTTTGAGTTTGGGATTATGATCGTTGCTGGGCGGAGGGGACCTACGTGACCAGACACTATTAAAAACCTTGGGTGCTAAGTCTCTCCCCCGGGGAGAAAGAGTGTACACACTTTAGTGAATTTTTCACTCCTGGAGAGAGGAACACACTCGTGCGTCTCCTGACTGGTGGGAGGGAGCATCCGAAGCCTCCAGATGCTGCCAGTGGCTTTTTCTCTAGTTGAACTTGTCATGTATCCTTTCACTGTAATAAACCTTACCCATGGGTATGACTCTCTGCTGAGTCCCCTAAATTCTAGTGATCCCTGAATGTGCGTGTGGTCTTGGGGATCCCCAAAACACACATGCTAGCCAGCATCGTGGTTCCTTTGGTGTGTCTAGTGACAGGGAGTTTGACTTAAGGCCTTGAACGTGTGCAGAGGATGCAGAAACACAGGGAGGGTGCGGGAATGTGCCTCTCTCTGAGCTGGAGCTTTGGTCCCAGTCTCGGGTGGGTTTTCTTCCTGGTGGTCCGGCCTGATCCATGTGGAGGACTCATTCGCCGACACAGAGCCTATAACACTGTGGCACCTTTTGCTGCCACCCCCAAGTGAATGGAAGGGGAAAAGCAAACATTTGCCACACTGCCTAGACAGCAGATCAGAGCGGCCCAAGCCCCCACCTTGGGCTTTCTCAGGGTGAGTGGCCCACAGGCCGTCCTTGTTCTCCAGCTTCATGGGCCCCAGAGACAAGTGGGCTTGATTGAACTCTTCCATTCCATCAAAGCTCTCTGTCAGCACTCTGGCTCAAAAATGCCCAAGCTTTTGACCTTCCTAGAAAGGAATCATCTAGAAAGGAATGTAGGGAGCCAATCTTTCCCTCTCTTACCTCTGCTTTTTTTTTGTATGTGGTATGGCGGGGGGTTGGGGCGGGGGATGGTGTGTGCAGGGCTGCCAGTGAGGAGGACACTTATGTTCTCTCTACAGACCCATATTCTCTCATATTTTTTCCTGCCAGTTAACTTGGTGTGCATAATAACCAATATCAAGGTCACCTTGAGTGCTGTTGTCCCCTAAGGAGAGATCATCTTCCCCAACCTCTGCTGTTTGTCTGAAGCATCCATCAAGGGTGTGAAAAGATAAACTGAGGTGTATTAGTTTTTTTTAAAAAGGTTTTATTTATTTGACACAGAGAGTGAGCACAAGCAGGGAGAAGGGCAGAGGGAGAAGGAGAAGCAGACTCACTGCTGAGCAGGGAGCCCGACACGGGACTCGATTCCAGCACCCTGGGATCATGACCTGAACTGAAGGCAGACGCTCAACCGACTGAGCCACCCACGTTTCCCTGTATTAAATTTTTTTAAAGAGTTTACTTGAGGGGTGCCTGGGTGGCACAGTCGGCTGAGCATCTGACTCCTAGTTTTGGCTCAGGTTGTGATCTCAAGGTCATGAGATCGAGCCCTGCTTCAGGCTCTGCGCTCAGCACAGAGTCTACTTGAGATTCTCTCGCTCCCTCTTCCTCTCCCTTTACCCCTCCTGCCCATGCTTGCTTGCTCGTCCTCTGGCTCTCTCTCTCAAATAAATAAATAACAGGGGCGCCTGGGTGGCTCAGTTGGTTAAGCGACTGCCTTCGGCTCAGGTCATGATCCCGGAGTCCTGGGATCGAGTCCCACATCGGGCTCCCGGCTCGGCGGAGAGCCTGCTTCTCCCTCTGACCCTGTCCCCTCTCATGCTGTTTCTCTCTCTCTCTCTCAAATAAATAAATAAATAAAATCTAAAAATAAATAAATAAATAACATTACATTAAAAAAAAGAGTTTATTTGAGCAAAAATTGATTTGAATCATATAGCATCCAACCTAGCCAGGTAGAAAGGAGCTCCAAGTTGCTGTATAAGATGAAAGACCTTTATAGGTAGGAAGGAATAGGAACAAGGAAGTTACATTAGACAAAATAGATTATTTCAAGATTACTTTCCTTTAGGGGATGGCAGGGGTCTGTCAGGCATATTGCCTAACTAGTGCTGTTCTGGAAATTCCTGAATGACTGGTTTGAGATTCCATTTCTGGGAGTGCTGAAACTGTAAGTAAATCTCATTTAGTGATGTGGGGCTTAGCATAAGGATTCCATTTTGGGTCTGTGTCTTGCTTATAACAGGGGTTACCTGAGGATATTATTACTAGCCCTTAGATCTTGCCCCTAGAAATTGCTGAACTGTATAAAGACAGGATAATTAAATTGTATCTGAAGGCCACAATAGAAACCACCACTTTGATCTCCTGTTTTATTTACTGTTCAAATTAATGATATGTCTTATCGAACAGCATAATCCAAGTGGTAGAGAGCCAGCCATAGAAAATTCTACACATTTCTAAGTACTGTTTTAGCTACATCCTACAAATTTGGATATATGCTATTTTTGTTATTGGTTGGTTCTAAATGTTTTATAATTTTTATGACAATTTCTTCTGTGACCCAAAAGTTACTTCAAGGAATTTTTATTTCTGAACATTTCAAGTTTTCTAATCATCTTTTTTTATATTGAATTTAAACGTAATTGCATTATGATTAGAGAAAATGATCTATATCTTCCAGTCCTTTGAAAAGTTGTTAAAACTTGCTTTATGGCTTATGGTCCTTTTTTGTAAATGGTCTGTGAGATTTTTTAAAAGATTGTGAAATCTCTAGTTGTTTGGTGCAGATTCTCTGTATGTCCTTTAGATAAAACACGTAAGTAGTGTTTAAATCTTAATATAGTTTATCTTTGGTTTTCTTGAGATATCAGTTACTAAGAGATTAGTGTTAAAATTCCCTCAGTATGGTATTGGATTCATGTATTTCTCCTTATAGTTCAGTATTACTTAGAATTATTTTAATTACCTACTGATTTGAATTTTTTATCATTATGTAGTCACCTTCTTTGTTTCCAGTAATGCTTTTTGCTTGAGTTCTGTTTTGTCTAACATTAACATTTATTTATTCCAGCTTGCTTTGGTTAGTGTTCCATCCATATTTCTCCCATCTTTTTACTTTCGACTTTTCTGCATCCTTATGAGTCTTGAATAACTTATATAACTGGATTTTAAAAAAGCCTTCTGATGACACCAAAAGCAGGAACAATAACATTTTTATTTTTATTTTCTACATTTTTTTAATAAAATTTTTTTAAATGGTAAGATGGAGTTGATCGAAATTTAAAATTTTGATCTTTAAAAGAGACCACTAAAAACATGAAAAGACAAACCACAGACTTGGGGGAAAATGTTTGTAAAACATATATCTGATAAAAAACTTATACCCAGGATATATAAAGAATTCCTACAACTGAATAAGAAGACAACCTAATTACAATATTTCTCAAAAATAGGCAAGAATTCATCATTTGGAAAATGCAAACTGAAACGAGATACCATTACATACTCATTAGACAGGCTAAAATAAAAGAGACTGACAATTCCAAGGGTTGGTAAGGATATGGAGAAACTGGGACCCTCATATATTACTGGTAGAAATGTAATGTGATAGAGCTACTTTGGAGAAGTTTTTTGGTTTTTATTTATTTTTAAGATTTTATTTATTTATATGACAGAGACAGAGAACACAAGTAGGCAGAGTGGCAGGCAGAGGGAGAGGGAGAAGCAGGCTCCCCACTGAGCAGAGACCCCGATGTGGGACTTGATCCCAGAACTCCGGGATCATGACCTGAGCCAAAGGCAGACACTTGATGGACTGAGCCACCCAGGCGCCCCTGGAGTTTTTTTATAAAGTTAAACATGTACTAACTAAATGACCCAGCATTCCAACTCCTAGGTACCTAAGAGAAATGGAAAGATATGTTCACACCAAGACATGCATGTGGATGATCATAGAAGCATAATTTGTAGTAGACCCAAACTGGAAACAGTCCACTGTCCATCGACTACTGAATGGGTAAATAAATGTATATTCATACAATGGAACAGTACTCAGCAATGAAAGGGAATAAAGTACTGATACATATGTGGAAAAAAAAAAAAACAACATTATGCTAAGTGAAAGATGCCAGACATGTAAGACTACATATTGTGTGATTCCATTTTTTTAAAAATATTTTATTTATTTATTTGAGAGAGGGCACAGAGGGAAAGTGAGAGGGAGAAGCAGACTGCCCACTGAGCAGAGAGCCCAACTCGGGGCTCGATCCCAGGACCCTGAGATCAGGACCTGAGCTGAAGGCAGACGCTTAACCGACTGAGCCACCCAGGCACCCCTGTATGATTCCATTTATATGAAATATCTGGAGAAGACACAACTATAGAGATAGAAAATGGATCATTGGCTGCTGAGGGCTGGAGGTGGGAATGGGGATTAATTGCAGGCCCACACGAGGAGTTTTTGTTTTTTGTTTTTTTGGCATGACAGAGGTACTCCAGGTATTCTGATGGCTCAGTTGATGGAGCATGCAATTCTTGATCTCGGGCTGTGAGTTTGAGCCCCACATTGGGTGGAGAGATTACTAAAAATAAAATCTTAAAAAAAAGAAGTACTCCAAAACTGGATTGTGGCAATGTTTGCACAACTTTGTAACTTTACTAAAACTCATTGAACTGTACACTCAAACTGGATGAATTAATGATATGTAAATTAGAAGCTAATAAACTTATTAAACATTGTTTTTAATGTATACACAATCTTTGTATTTTTTAACTGGAGTATTTAGTCCATTTATTCTTTTTGTAATTATAGGTATATTTGGATTTTTTCCTGTTGTTTTATATTGTGTTTTTTGTATGTTCTACATTTTTCATTTTTTCCTCCTCCTTTCTTGCCTGCCTTTGGATTATTTTTTTTCCTATTCCATATTTCTCCCTCTGTTTTTTTATTTTTTATTATTATTTTTTTAAATTTCTCCCTCTATTAACCTGGAAGTGATACATTCTACTGCTGTCTTATAATGGTTACCTGGAAATGTCAACATGCATACTTACAAATCGAAGTCTAGAGTTAATAGCTTTGCCCTTTTCTCAAATGGCACAAGGAATTTAGACTACATTAACTATAATAACTCCCTGCTTATATCTATTGCTAAAGTTGTAATTTTTAACTCCATAAGACATTTCTATTATTTTACAAAATCAATATTTAATTACTCACATATATACTTTTTTTTTTTTTTTGGCTGCCGTCCTGTACTATATCTCAGACTCTTCATCCATGATATTTTTCCCAAGAAATTTTTGTAACAAACGGCAATATATTGTAGTGGTTAACAGCGTGGCTTCCAGAGCCAAACTCCTTTTACTTTTTACACTGCTTTTTATTTCTGCTTTATCATAAGGAAACCGAGGCAGAGAGTTACCCAGCAACATGCCTAGGGTCACATTTAGTAAGTTGTAGGGGCAGGATTTGGACCCACCAACTCCTTATATTTAAACCAATAGCACCCCCTCCACTGTGGAGGGTTTGTAAAAACCCGTGGTCTAAGAAATCTGTTGGTGGCACAACAGGCCAGAGGCCTTCTCCACTGTCAGCAAATTTACATGTAGGTTCAAATTCCTCCTACATCTTGAGGTTCATGAAGTTCATAAAGAACTCCTCTGTAAAGATTAACTTTACAAGCAAATTACAGGTGACTTGAATTTCAGCCTTATGAATGCTTATAAAATCAATTTCTCTGTGTTTCTTGCATATTTATTATTTTGCTTTAGGTAACTGGAACTGTCTGGCAAAATTTATAGGACAGGACTCCTTCCATAAAAATCCAATTCTCTTTCTGGACTCTTTCCACCTTGCTTCCCTTATTCCTGGGCAGATCAACCATAAACCCTTGCTTTATAAAGCAAATCACCAAATTCTCCCCAATATAAAGTCACTTAGATGTTGATAAACCTCAGGAGAGATTTTACAATGGAATTGGTAAATGCTGGGTAGATTTTGAAACCATCTCTGGTGGAGAGGGTCCTTTCAGCAGAGTGGTTAGCACAGAACAATCTTCTAGGTCTTCTAGGTTCTCTACGATCTCCAGAAGGCTTTCTACTGTGTCGCGGGACAGCGTGCTGGAGGCATTGGCTCTGAACTTCTCCCGCAGGTCCTCCTGGCTCAGTGGCTTCCTCCAATGGCCGTAGAAGGTATCCGAGCACTCTGTGAAGGTGGCTCCATCACTGAGAGTGACATTTACCTCACAGTATAGTGTGTTGAAGCTTGGCAGGTTGTCCCGAGGGTACTCCAGCTGCACTTTCCTGAGTAGCTCTCTCACCTGTGGCCTGTCGATCTGGCATTTGTGGAAGGATGGGACGGTGATGCCACCATCGAGCAGTGTGGTACAGGCCACATACTGGAACGAGTGACGAGCTTCATGCTCCGAGTCTGGGAAGGGCCTGTTGACGTACTGGACATCTGGAATTCTGAGCACAATTCTCTCAATGCGGTCCGTGGGAAGCAGGGCTCTGTCTGTTACAAGGTGCTTTCGGACGGATGTGACTGCGTCCGCCACCCAGTGGGTAGCCAGATGTGCAGGGAACCTCTTGAAGGCCACATCCTGCTGGTCCAACAGCCATGTGTGGGAATCTAGGTTTGGAAGAACCTGTGGGGCGTAGTTGGCATAGAAGGCCCCAAAGCCCATCTGCGTGTCCAAGACCTGCTTGTTTCCTTGGAGACCCAGCATTGCCAGGAAAGCGGATTCCATCCCATGCCTGGCAGCATTGCCGATATGAAGAGGCTTGGTCTGAGTGGCAGCATTTGCCATGGGTGCCCCGGCATGAGAAACAGCAATAGCCAGGGCCTCTTGGCACTTTGTCATGCTGAGCCCTAAAAACTTGGATGCGGCCGCCGCACTACCCAAAGTTCCTACCACTGAGGGGGGATGGAATCTGAAAAGTAAAAAAAAAGCAAAGAGTTGGAGATTTACAGACCTCAGTCACCAGGAGGCAGTGTAGTTAGTGGTCAGGCGTGTGGATGCCGCAGGCCTGCTGCCTAGGTTCAAATCTCAGCTCTGCCACTTACTAGCTGTGTGATCTTAGCAAAGTCACTCAACCTCTCTGCACCTGTTTCCTCTCCCATAAAATGGTGCTAATCATAATATCTACTCATAGGGTTTCGTGAGTTTTGAATGAATCTACAGGCTTACAATAGTGCCTGACACAGTAAATTTTTAATAATTATTGCCAGAAAGGCAAAAGTTGTTATTTGCTGAAATCCCACGTAAGTAGCTATAAAAATGGAGAGCCTGGTAGAAACTGAAAATTCACTCAGTATTCCAATTTACTCCTCTCCTAGCAGGCGGGATCAACTGGAAAAGTAAATATAAGATTGAACTACATGATAGAGTCAACATGGGACCATTTTTGATTAGTGGGTTGAACAGTTTCAAGATCTTCTGAATGTTCTCAGTCTGAAGGACCTTAGCAAATATCAAAGTAGATTCTACTTTGAGATGGGATTAGGAAGATTCACAGTACCCGTGGATGCCAAAATGACATGAATCATCCTCGGACTAGAGGCCCCAATTAATTTTATGCTTGTGGTTGCTTGACCCTCTAAACCCAAAGGAGACTTTTCATTAGTACTTCTGAAGTCACACCTTTATATATGGATATATGGTTTGATATGTGACTGGAAAATTGACTTAGCTGTCAGCACTAATGTTAATATTTTCAACTGAGCTAAGCTCTATGTCAGAAGGCTCCGCAGAGATAATGATCAACAGGTGAAGGGGGCATGTGTCTGCCTCTGGATGGGGCAGATTCTCTCCGTACCTCTTTGGTATGTCACTGGCTTCTTTGGAGAAATGCAATAATTGGCCTTGTACTTCAATCCCAACATTGAAAGCCAGCAGCAGATCAAGGCCAGAAAATGTTCGACTTGAAGGGAGAGCTTCTGCTAAAGCCATGAGGACAGGAAGGACAGCTCCAGAAGGGTGGGTGGCGGGATGCCATGTGTCATCAAAATCCATTGAGTGAATCTATGTAAACAGACACACAACAAACAAAAACCAAAAAAGTAATATTTCTCTAAATGCAGTGACCAGTAAGGGTTTAGTTTCATAATAACTTTATTTGATGTGAGATTTTTTAGATCTGATTATCTGAAAATAAAACCTATAAGCTGGCTGTAATTCTTAATCATGTGGCTGGGCACTGAGACATGCTGTCCTCTGCCTAGAGCAGACAGGACTTTGGGGAGCAACTAGAGAGCCCCCAGTGGGCTTGGATCTTACCCAGGTAGCCAGAAATCTCTGGCACAGCCCCTGGAAAGAGCTATATCTCCCTTAAAAATAAGGCTATGAAATTAGGTGGTGGTTCCTCTCTCCCCCCCCCACCCTTCAAATAAGTTACACTAAAAGTTTAATATCATTTATTCCATATCAGGCCATATATTTTTGTACCTTTTCATTATGAAATAATTTTAAATTTACAGGGAAGTTGCAAGGACTCTTGAACCCAGATTAACTATTAAGCTATATTTTAAAATCATTATTTTCTGCTATAGGTTTTATTCCTCTTCATCCTAGCCATTAGCTTATCCCTTATACGAAATAGTAATAACCAGAAGTTCACTTAAAAATAGAATTCCAGGGGGGGCACCTGGGTGGCTCAGATTGTTAAGCGTCTGCCTTCGGCTCAGGTCATGATCCCAGGGTCCTGGGATCAAGTCCCGCATCGGGCTCCCTGCTAGGCGGGGAGCCTGCTTCTTCCTCTGCCTCTGCCTCTGCCTCTCTCTCTGACTCTCATGAATAAATAAATAAAACATTAAAAAAAATAGAATTCCAGGGGTGCCTGGGTGGCTCAGTCGGTTAAGCATTTGCCTTTGGCTCAGGTCATGATCCCAGGGTCCTGGGATCAAGCCCCACATCGGGCTCCCTGCTCAGCGGGGAGCCTGCTTCTCCCTCTCCTTCCCTCTTGTGCTCACTCTCTCTCAAATAAATAAATTAATTAAATCTTAAAAAGTAGAATTCCATGTCTATTGGATGTGGCTGGTCTGGACGCTGGACATCTACTCCTGGATGCACTGCTGGATTTGACTTTCAATATTCTGAGCTACTGTCCCAAACCATAAAAATATCTCAGAAGTCCCAACACATTCACGTCTAAATTATATCTTGTATATAGATACAGACTGCCGCTGACACACAAAGCAAAAAAAATCGTCAGATGAAAGTGCTGATTTTTGCTTCAGAAAATGTAGACACCATATGGCCATTGTTTCTTTCTCAATAAATATCTGGTGAATGAATGGATGGATGAAAAGCTAGTTATTGAATAGAAACTGGCACTGGTTACAACAAAAGGAACTGAGTCTAGATACCGAGTTTTGTATTTTTTGCTATCTATATTCAAAGTTTAATAACACCTCAAAGTTTTAAAACACCTTAGGGTGTTTTATCTAGGTCCTCCATCTTATTTCCTGTGCTTCACAATTTGTTTGAAAAGCATCAATTCACTGTCAAACACAAAAAAATGAAGTAACTACATAGAAGAGAGGACAGACCACTTCATCTCTCTGAACTTCAGTAACTCATCCGTGAAATATGGAAACCAAACAATTTCTGAGCTATTTCCTGGCTCTGAAATTATTATTGTCTCACAGTTTAAAAGATACGTAAGCCTCCTTACAGCCACACCGTTCACAAAAGCAGCATATGATGGCGGGAGCCTTAGGTCTGGTCGACCCCAAACACTGCTGGACATGTTGGAACTGTAGATCTGGAACCAAAGAATATCAATCAGTGATACAGAGTGAAAACACGACATGCCAGTCACCACTTCAAGAGCTGTTCCTCATCTTTGGAGGCAATACTTTAACGGTGCTTATTTGAACACTTTGTGCTGAATCGCAGCCTTAAACCATTGGAATTTTCTCTTCCTTGTAGGAATACACAAATTTCCCCACGGAAGGGAGAGGAGATGTTGGGGCTCTGTCCCAGGCTGAGATCCACAGGTGTGCCAAGGGATGGAGTCTGAATTTATTCTTATTTATTCCTTGAGGGTAAATACTAGGGAAGGTGGACCAATTGTCTATACCAAGTACATCCTTTGGAGAGTGGGTGCTCCATCTCCCACATACACACCCACTCTGCTCAGAGTGCTGAACCAGCTTTTTCTCCAGAGACTCTTAAAGTCCTTGCATGAATAAATGGTAGATGTTATTGGGGTAGACGCTATTCCTAAGACTGGTCTTTAGACAGTAACTTAGTGAAGAATATAGATGAGTATTAAAACTCATAAATAGAGCATAAAACCATATACAACAATGCTACACACACCAAGTACTATCTCTAAAACAAAGAGAACACATATCTCCAGGCACATTGGTGGGATAACTCATGAGCAGGCATTTGGTTTTATATCTAAAGTAGACACCGAGCTTCTTACCTTACTGTATTCGCTGGCTTTGTGAAACACTTCTGTACTGGTTCCCAGGAAGCCAACACCCAGAGTATCCAGAATCATTCTCTTGCTTCTTTGAATAACGTGATCTGTCAGGTGCCCCACTGTCAAGCCATGGATCACTCTGGCAAAGCTTTCTGTGACAGACTTTAAAGAGAAGAGTGTTAGAACAGTGCTACATGCAATTTGTATTTGCTTATTCCTTGCTGTACAAGAGCTTGAGGTACTTTTTTTTTTTAAAGATTTTATTTATTTATTTGACAGAGAGAGACACAGTGAGAGAGGGAACACAAGCAGGGGGAGAGGGAGAGGGAGAAGCAGGCCTCCCGCCAAGCGGGAAGCCCGATGCGGGGCTCGATCCCAGGACCCTGGGACCATGACCTGAGCCGAAGGCAGACGCTTAACGACTGAGCCACCCAGGCGCCCCAAGCTTGAGGTACTTTTATGTGACGAGTTTTGCTCCACTAGGGGAAAACCAGTTAATCAACCTAAGTTCAATTCCTGAGAAATGATGAGCACGGAGCCCCTGCTATGTGTCAGGCAAAGGGATGTGGAAATGCCCGATAGCTAGTTTCTGTCCTCGAGTTGAGGACACAGGCCAACATGCGGGTGATGGCCACAGAGAGAGTGGGCTATGGCGTCGGGAAGCACAGAGTTAGGAGACGATGGGAGGGACACCTTGCAGATAAGGTGGGCATGCTGGGACCGGTGTATCCATCTAGGAGCTGCCATTGTTAGATATGCGCCAGGTGTCATGCTGACTGTTGTAAATACAATATCCATTGAATGCCGCAAGTTTCTGGG